ATTTGGTTGTAATCGGTCATGTTTTATAGCAACTTTTTTTTATTTGCTTCTGTAAATTATGCACCTAATTAAATTCTGTATTAAATTTTTTACTAACAATTTGTTTTTTTTTCATTGAATTATATTGTAGCAAGCTAAAGCTGAACAAGAAGAAGAATTTATAAGTAATACATTATTAAAAAAAATTCAAGCCCTTAAAAAAGAAAAAGAAACGTTAGCACATCATTATGAACAAGAAGAAGAATGTTTAACAAATGATTTATCAAGAAAGTTGAATCAATTGCGTCAGGAGAAATGTCGATTGGAACAAACTTTAGAACAAGAACAAGAATGTCTTGTAAACAAATTAATGAGAAAGATAGAAAAACTTGAAGCAGAGACACTTGCTAAACAAAGCAATCTAGAGCAGTTACGTAGAGAAAAAGTAGAGCTTGAAAATACACTTGAACAGGAACAAGAAGCATTAGTAAATAAATTATGGAAAAGAATGGACAAATTGGAAGCAGAAAAACGAATGCTTCAAATAAAATTGGATCAACCTGTATCAGACCCTGCTTCACCAAGAGAAATTAATAATGGTGATACTGCTACTAGTCTGAGTACACATATTCAAACATTAAGAAGTGAAGTAGCCAGACTAAGACATACATTACTCATCTCACAACAAGAACGTAAGAACTTTTATCATATAATAAAATGTAAATATGTTTGTTATGAAAAATCTACACGCCATTTTGAAAATTTAACAGTCATATTTCTGGTGTACATTTTGTGGTATTAATATATGAGTAAAAAAGGGGAAGTCATTCTGTATAAATATGTATATATTAATGAATTATTATAGTTATTGAAAGAAAAGTAGAATAAGTGAAATAATGTAATTGTTGTTACTTTTATACTTGTTATAATTCCATATTGTGTGTAATTTTTAAATATTAATGGTGGTAAGTGACATAATTAAAAGTTTTACAATGTCTGTACATAGTGCTTGAAACATTAGTGAATCAAGAGCATGAAATTTGTGAGTTTCTAATAATATGTTGTATATTTGATCATATTTATAAAAACGTATCATTTTCTTGTAAAAACAGAAAAAAACTTTATGATATCTTTAAGTACTGCATATGAAGCTTTTCAGTTAATAATAAAATAATATTAAATTTATGAATTAATTATTATTGGAAGTTAAGGTTATTTGATACATTTTTATATTTTTTATGTTAGATACGGAAAAAATGCAGCGGTATGTGAATGAAGAAAAACAAATTCGTGAAGAAAATTTAAGACTTCAGAGAAAATTGCAGCTGGAAGTAGAACGTCGTGAAGCTTTATGTAGACATCTCTCTGAATCAGAATCTAGGTAAATAGTTGTGTTACACAAACTAAGAAGATATTTTAGTTTCATTGCAAACTTCATCATTTATTTATTAGTTTGGAAATGGAAGAAGAACGGCACTACAACGAAATTGTGATGTCTGGTGGAAATATAAGAAATCGCACTGTATCTAGCCCAGTACCATACAATCCTTCACCTAGTTCTTCTAGGCCATTAAGTCCGGGTAATTATTATGGTATTCTTGTTAATATTATGTCAGAAATTTGTTATTTGTAACTATTATTTGTTATTATTTGTAAATATATAATATATTACCATATGTTAATAACATTATGAATAGGCTCAACAACTAGAGAGGGATTTAACACAAATCGATGTTATGCCTGTGGCCAACCTACTACAATTCCATTTGCGAGTTCATCACCTCCTTCCACTGTAAGATGCATTTCATTAAAATAAATTAATGTATTCAATCATGTGTAAATATATTACATCCAATATTTAAAGCGCGAAACATTTCAAAATTAATTTTTAACGTTTGATAATATTTAAACAGAGCCATGTGGTAACATCATCCAACAGACGCACATCAGATAGATTTGTTAAACCTGCAATTCCTCCAACTATTATAAGTCCAAGTGGTCCACCAATTGCCTCTAATACGGCTTCAAATGCAACTGGAGGGTCACCAATGGATATTACTAAAACATAAGTCAGTTGAATTCGTCTAACAACAAATATTTCACCGTGTATTCGTATAAAGTACTTTTTTTTTATTAATGCATTTTTACTATGTGATTGTATAACATATTCGAGTGTTATTTTAGAAAGAATTTCACTTTTTGCTATTTTAATTACTTTGCTGTCACAGTACAATGCATATGAATTAATTATGAAATATCTATAAAAGTGAATGTTCTATAAATTGCTGCATACTTTATATCAAGTTGCTTAAATATTCCTCATAACATGATACAAACCAGTATTTATAGAAAAAAGTAAATAATCACCTGTGAAATTCTGAGCTGCTTCAAAGTAGTCTAAAATTAATATTAATGGAAGAATCGCTCTTCTAATTTTCTTTATTTTTATCTATTATTACAAGTAATGTAATGCATTCTTCTTCAATTTTTAAAATAGCAATATAAAGAGGAAGATTATTTTTAAATTTAAGTACTTAGATTATAGAAATAAATGCTTCTATAGCCATAACTATATAATTTATTTAAATATATTTTTTTTTGTCAATTCAATATTAATTTTTGTAATATGACTATATAGCATAATATGATTGATTACGGTAGACATCTGTTCCTTGATTTATGTGGAAAATACGTTCCACCGTGAGGAGACTGCATTAATCGAGTTTTAGTTAATATACTGTTAGCCCTAAGTAAGTCTGGTAAATTTTTATGACATTTTGTGAATTTAGAATTCTTATTTGTTTGCATTGTTTTAAAGCCTCAAAGCACTGTAATCTCATGATGGATCTGAGGATAAGGAGAATTTAATGTTGATAAGGTGAGATAAATTGAGCCTCTTTTGATTGATTTGATGTGTTATTTTTACAATTATAAAAACAACAGAATAAACATTATTGTGCTAGGTTTGTCAGACGTCACCAGATTAAACTAGAGTTAAGTATATGTAACTATATTTTAAAAGATCGAATACAGGGTGAGGCATCTAAAATTGGCTATATGAAAAACTCACTTGGTTTCAAGAGAGACATAATTTGATGTTGATAGTTTTTTTTATAGGTGGAGGGGTAGAAGAGATGCGAAGGTCAA